AAACAAAGTAGTTTCGCTTTCACAACAAAGCACACAGCGTCTTCACGACATGGCGGCGGCAGCAACAATACTACAGCGAGAATAAAAGTTACGCCTTCTTTCTTTGCTGAACATTTGGGAGGCGTTATGCAAATCTTCCCACATAGTGATGTAGACATGTGGGGGCGTGTTAGAACGAGCCGTTTTAGGTAGGTGTGGCTGACTCTTATCTTTTATAAAGAATATCTCTTTGGATTTGAGACTTTAGTCTTTGCAACTTTACAGATCTTCTTTATGCACCAAGAGCTTGTAACACTCCAAAGAGAAAGGAAAAATTGAAATTGCATCATATGACCTCTTTAAAGATTGACTAGTTCTTCACTTGTTTGAGAATGAAGACCGTTTTTCCGACAGGAATATTGACTAGGAATATTAATAGCGCATCTTTAAGTTTATCTGCTTCAAGAACAGTAACTTTACCACCTCGTTACTGAGAAATGTCATGCAGCTTTTCAGCTGCGAGATTATTAAAATAAATAAAAAATTTAGTCTGTGCCCAGTTCTTCATGGGTTGTGTATGCTAAACACGATCATGCGAAGGTCTTGGCGTGTCTGCTGATCCGTTGTGCTGCTGCAGCACTCGGTTTAGACTCGGTGTGAGGGATGGAAAAGAAAAAGAAAAAGGCTCTTTGCTCAAAAAAGTTTCCCGACCCCTGCTTTATACAAAGCAGCTTTACAGTGATAAACAGGAAAATTATGATTAAATGATGCAAAAATAATTCAATTTTACTGTAAAGCAGCTTTAAAAATACAATAGTAAACAGTCATTATTCAGCTGAAAAATAATTTCAATTCAATAACTGTGAGGTCCATCAATTGACAAATTTAATTATCTTAGGAGTATAAAATTTTACATGGAAAATAATCTTACCTCTGGAATGGGAATTGCCCAGAATGGTAAAAACCTGTTTAAAAGAAAATGGTAATTAATAATAATAATAATAATAGCTTTATTTGTATAGCACATTTCATACAAGTTCAACTCAAACTGCTTTTTAATAAAAACAAAAACCTACTTTATAGGTTTTTGAAACTTTATACAACAAGGAATAAAGCTGAAATGCATCTCTGTATTAAAAGCAAAAGAAAAGCTACCGTTTGTATCCAAAAACCTGTAAGAAAATGCAACTGAGCTCCCAAGTCTATAGCTTTACTTCTGTCATCAATCAAATGTCTGGAATGATTAAGATTTTTTTAATGTAAAGAAGTCTCTTCTGCTCACCAAGACTGTATTTATTTGATCAAAAATACAGTAAAAGTGTGAAATATTATTACAGTTTAAAACAGCAGTGTTCTATGTGAATCTCTGTTAAACTGTAATGTATTTCTGTGATGCGCAGCTGTATTTTCAGCATCATTACTCCAGTCTTCAGCGTCACATGATCTTCAGAAATCAGTATAATATGCTGATCTGCTGCTTGAGAAACATTTCTGATTATTATCAATGTTGAACACAGTTGTGCTGCACAATATTTTTGTGGAAATCGTGAAACTCTACCATTCAATCATTTGGGGTCAATAAGAAATTAACGTTTTTATTCATCAATGACGCATTAGGCTGATCAAAAGTGACAGTCAAGACATTTATAATGTTACAAAAGTTACAAAAGATTTCTATTTCAAATCAATGCTGTTCTTTTGAACTTTCTATTCATCTGTGAATCCTAGAAAAAAAAGGAAATATATCCACAAAAATATTCAGCAGCACAACTGTTTTCATCTGTATTTTAGTCTAACAGTGAGTGTCTCACCGCTTCATGACTAATATGTAACATGGCCAACATTTCTTAGCCTTTCAATCAGTTCCTGTTTATTTTCATTCGGCTGTAAAACTGGGTCTGTCACCACGGTAACTGGCTCAAACCCCGAACATCTCGCAGCACGGCACGTTTGTTTTTATTTGTGTCCACAGACACAAGCCTCTCCCGCCGCTGAATGATTGAGTTTGTGCGCTCAACCGAACCTGACTGAAGGGCCCTGGATGTTCGTCAGTGGGCGAATCTTGGCTCCCGCTAATTGCCAGGGCCATTTGTACGCCTACACACAGGAGCTGTACATTAATTAGGGCGCACAGGGTCTCAGATCTTCATAATAGAGGGACAAGAGGGGGATCAGACTAACTTTAGCCAGGAGACGTGCAGCTCCACCACTACAGTAATGAGGCTTTCATCAGCATGTTCCAAACACTAAAGGAGAATATACACTGAAACATTGTACTGGCTACTGTATACAGGCCACCAGGGCACCATACAGACTTTATTAAAGAATTTGCTGATTTTCTATCCGAGTTAGTGCTGGCTGCAGATAAAGTTTTAATATTCATGTTGATAATGAAAAAGATGCATTGGGATCAGCAAATGGAGCGCAGCTGGAGAAAAACAAAACTAGAGGTATTTCGCATTGCTTGGCGGGAAAGTAACTTATCCTACAGAAAAGCATTAAAAAGGGCTAGATCTGATTACTTTTCGTCTCTTTTAGAAGAAAACAAACATAACCCCATGTATTTACTCAATATGGTGGCTAAATTAATGTAAAATAAAGCATCAACAGGTGTTGACATTTCCCAACAGCACAGCAGTAATGACTTTATGAACTACTTTACTTCCAAGATCGATACTATTAGAGATAAAATTGTAACCATGCAGCCGTCAGCTACAGTAACGCATCAGATAGCTTGCTATAGATTCCCTGAGGAACAATTCCACTCATTCTCTACTATAGGAAGAATTGTATAAACTTGTTAAATCATCTAAAACAACAACATGTATGTTAGACCCTATTCCATCTAAGCTCCTAAAAGAGGTGCTTCCAGAAATCATAGATCCTCTTCTGACTATTATTAAATCCTCATTGTCATTAGGATATGTCCCCAAAACCTCCAATTTGGCTGTTATTAAGCCTCTCATCAAAAAACCACAACTTGACCCCAAAGAACTAGTTAATTACAGACCGATCTCGAATCTCCCTTTTCTGTCCAAGATACTAGAAAAGATAGTATCCTCACAATTATATTCCTTCTTAGAGAAAAGAGAAAAGTGGGATCTCTGAGGATTTCCAGTCAGGATTGAGACCGTATCATAGTACTGAGACTGCTCTCATTAGAGTTATAAATGACCTCCTCTTATCATCTGATCATGGTTGTATCTCTCTATTAGTGCTACTGGATCTTAGCGCTGCGTTCGACACTATAGACCACAATATTCTTTTGAATAGACTAGAAACCTTTGTTGGCATTAATGGAAGTTAGGGCTGTAGTACTCGAGTCCGGTCTCAAGACATGTTTCTATGGTCTCGGACTTGTCTCGGACTCGTTGGTGTTTGCACTTTGGACTCAAAACTTTTGGACTTGGACTTGAATTGGACTTGAACCTCTTTGGACTCGTTCTTGACTCGATCTCAACTAGTCCTGGTCTTGGACTTGTCTTGGACTCGACAAAGCTGGACTTGACTACAGCTCTAATGGAAGTGCATTAGCATGGTTCAAATCGTACTTATCTGACCGCCATCATTTGTAGCAGTGAATGAAGAGGTATCATATCGATCACAAGTGCAGTATGGAGTACCTCAAGGCTCAGTACTAGGGCCGTTAATCTTCACGCTTTACATGTTACCCTTGGGAGATATCATCAGGAAACACGGTGTTAGCTTTCACTGTTATGCTGATGATACTCAGCTCTATATTTCTTCGCGGCCCGGTGAAACATACCAATTTGAAAAAACTAACGTAATGCATAGTCGATATTAAAAACTGGATGACGAGTAATTTCTTATTGCTAAATTCTGAAAAAACAGAGGTGTTAATTATAGGACCTAAAAACTCTGCATGTAATAACCTAGAACACTAAGACTTGATGGCTGCTTTGTCAATTCTTCGTCATCAGTTAGGAACCTAGGTGTGCTATTTGATAGCAATCTTTCCTTAGAAAGCCACGTTTCTAGCATTTGTAAA